GTTTTAGTCAGAAAAGTACAGCTTCAAGTTAGAAAAGCCATCCAGAGGTGAAGTCAGAGGTGGGCTGAGGCGATGGCTCGGTCATTAGCACGGTTGGCCTGCAAGCAGGGGGCCTGAGTTTGGCTCTTCCACACCACATAAAAAGCTGGGCATAATGCCTCAGTGCTGGGAGGCAGAGGCTGTCTAGCCAAATTGTGAGCTCCAGGTTGAGAAACTCTATCTCAAAAGATTGGGGGGGGGGGCACTGAATGTGGTTTAGTGGCTAAGAATACTATCTGATTTCCCAGAGGACCCTGATTTGATTCCCAGCACCTGTATGGTTCCAGGGGTATCTGGTGCCGTCTTCTAGCCTCCGAGGGCACTGCATACATGTAGTGCACAGACATACAAGCAGGCAAAATACCCACACACATAACATAGAAATAAAAATTAAAAAAAATATTTAAAAAGGCTCTTCCTGTAAGGTTTACAGTATACGTGGTCCAAGATGACCTGTGAAATGGTCCGATACCTTCTCAACCAAGAAAACACTACAAACCCATGCAAAATCAAGCAGGTCAATTCTTCATGCATATGATAGGAATACCTGTGAAGCTGCTGAAGCAGGCCATCAAGGGTATGCGTATCTGAAGAGCAACCAAGTCTGAACAATGTCACTTTAAAGAAACAATGTGTGCCATTCTGTCAGAATAATGGTGGCACTGGGAGGCGTGCCAAGGACAAACACTGGCTGGACATGATGGCCTGAAAAAGGGGTTGAATTTTTGCTGCACATGCTTAAAAATGCAGAGAGTCAAGCTGAACTTAACTGTCTGAATGTGGTCTCTGGTCTTTGAACATGTCCAGATGAACAAAGTACCTAAGAGGCAGCCCTGAATTTACAGAGCTCAGGGTCGGATTAACCCGTCCACGAGCTCCTGGAACAAAGAGCCCCTATGCAAAAAGAGAAAGATCCCAGAAGAAACTAAGACTCACAGTACAGTAACAAATGCAGCATAAAAGAGTCTTTTTAAAGGTGGGGAGAGATCGTGGAAACATTCATGCCAGCCTCTGTACACACACACACACACACACACACACACACACACACTGTTACCCCCAAGTATTAAGTCCAGAAATGAGTGAATCTTCTGAATGAATTCATTAGATTTTTGGTTCAATTTTTAGAAATACTTTTCTAGGTTCTGTCTTCCAAAACTTCTACAACATCTTGTCTTTTGGCTATTGTCCCTCATGGTAACTGAGAAAAAAAAAATCTGTTACGATGGTAAGTATCATACTAGACTACGCTATCCAGGAAACAAAAGAACATCTCTTCTTCATTCTTCTCTTTTATTGATAAATTGTCCTGTTTTTTTAAATGTTTATTTATTTTGAGACAGGGTATCTCTATCTAGCTCTAGCTGTCTCGAAACTCACTATGTAGACCAGGCTGGCCTCAAACCCAGAGATCCGCCTGCCTCTGCCTCCCAGTTGCTGAGATCAGAGGCATGCACCACCACCACCAACTGGCCCTGCCCTGGGTTTTTAATAATTAGAAAGACCGGAGATCTGGCTCAGCAGTTAAGCACTTGTTGTTCCTGCAGAGGACCTGAGTTCATTTCCCAATACCCAAAATGTGGCTCACAACCATCTGTAACTCCAGTTCTGTGGATCTGATGCCCTCTTCTGACCCCTTCAGACACTAGGCTTGTATGTGGTTGCACATATATACATACATATATACAAACACTCATACACATAAAAAAATGTGTTAAAAATAATTAGGGAGGACATAGCATAGTCATTTAGCATGTAGACTCCATTATTTTCTAGCTGTCTGGCTTTGGAAATGTTAACCTTTTTTCATGACTGCTTCTTCATCTATGGGGATTTTAATAGTACTTATTTCATAAGGCTGATATGGGGATTAAATAAACTTTTTGAAAAGGAGTCAGTATACTGCCTGGCAACTAGTTAGTGCTCCATAACTGTTAGCTAGCATTACCAGCATATTTCCTTAGAAACATCTCCCTTCAAATTCTCATCTCATTAGATTCTTTTGGGCAATACTAACTCTTCTGGACAGTTCTTTGTTGAATTTGCTATAGTCAACCATAAAATAAACATTAAATGAGGGATCTACTATTTTATGCACTAAAGAGCAAATAAGACAGCCAACAGCTTGTTTTTATGTCGATTGCACTGTAGTGGAAAGTGGGATGTGGCAGAGAGACAATATGCACATAAACAGGACTCAGATGGGACACCGATATGGAGAAGAATCCGGAGAGAATGGATGTAAGTAGGGAAGGGGTGCTATCTAAAATGTGGACAGGTAAGACATCTGTCTGTCTGTCTGTCTATCTATCTATCTATCTATATACCTACCTACCTACCTACCTACCAATCTATCTATTTATTCAAAGCTAGGGTTTCACTATATAGCATTGGATGGTCTGACAGTTGGTATAGAGCAGGCTGGCCTCAAATACCCAGAGATCTGTTTGCCCCTGCCCCCCAAGTGCAGGGATCAAAGGCATGCACCACAGCTCCTGACCACATAAGACTTTTTAGAAAACCTGAAGATGGCTGACCATAGTGGCACACACCTTTAATCCCAGCACTCAGAAGGCAGAGGCAGAGAAATCTCTGGGAGTTCAAGGCCAGCCTGTTCTACATAATGAGTTACAGGAGAGCTACACAGTGAGGCAATGTAACAACAACAACAACAACAAAAAGAAAGAAACTTAAAAAAAAAGAAAAGAAAGGGGCTGGAGAGATGGCTCAGTGGTTAAGAGCATTGCCTGTTCTTCCAAAGGTCCTGAGTTCAATTCCCAGCAACCACATTGTGGCTCACAACCATCTGTAATGAAGTCTGGTGCCCTCTTCTGGCCTGCAGACATGCACACAGACAGAATATTGTATGCATAATAAATAAATAAATTAAAAAAAAGAAAAGGCCGGGCGGTGGTGGCGCACGCCTTTAATCCCAGCACTCGGGAGGCAGAGGCAGGCGGATCTCTGTGAGTTCGAGACCAGCCTGGTCTACAAGAGCTAGTTCCAGGACAGGCTCCAAAACCACAGAGAAACCCTGTCTCGAAAAACAACAACAACAAAAAAAAAAAAAAAAGAAAAGAAAAAGAAACGGGTAAGTTGGTGAGCAGTGAGCCATTTCAAATATCTAGGAGACTATTTGAGGCCAGCACAATAGCGAAGGCAAAAGTCCAGAAGAAACAGTATGTTAGAACACCAGGCTTGTTAGAAAAAGGCCAGAACGTTGCTGGAGCTAAGCAGCAGAATGAAACTTCCACCGCATCAGAAGAGTAGCCAGTGACCAGGACCTTGTAGGATGTGAACATGATTCTTGGTGCCTGCAGAGTATCTTCTGGGAGTTTTTATAATGGAAGCCATGAACAGGACAGGGCCACAACTACAACTTGCCTAATAATAGGTTTGAAAGTTCAGAGAAGGCGTCTCTGAGAGGGTTGCTCCTGAGCTGTGTACTGAATGAATGGGAGGTATCTGGAGAGACGTGGAAAAGCGAAAACGCCATAACAGAAGGTGTTAATACATTGGTATATCTAAACCCTGGTGGTGGTGCACACCTTTAATACCAGCAAAAGGCGGCAGATCTAAGACTTCGAGGCCAGCCTGGTCTACAGAGAGAGTTCCAGGACAACCAGGGTTGTTACACAGAGAAACTCTGTCTCGAAAAAACAAACAACACAACAGAAATCGACAGGTATATTCAAGCCAATACGGTAAGACTAGTGCATAGAGGAGGATATGAGGAGTACGGGGAAAACAAGAAAAAGCAGACTGGTCCGACTGATGGAAGTGTTTATTGAACACTAGGCATTTCTTACTTCATCTGTGACAGGCATTGTACAGGTTTGGGAGCACAGTCATGTCCAAAAATCAGCAAAGAATTCCTGGTCTTGGCGCTGGGGAGATGGTTTAGCGGGCAAGAGTGATTGTTCTGCAAGGCTGAGAGCCTGTTTGAATCACCCATTCACCACCTAAAAAGGCCTGGCTTCGCCGTGATTCCAGCGGATGGAGGGTAGAGGCAGGAGCATCAGGAGTTCAACATCATCCTTGGCCTCAGAGCAAGTGCAAGGCCAGACTGAGCTACACTGAGTCCCTGCCTCAAACTCCGTTTCCTGCCGCAAAAGGTCATTAAATCACAGGTCTGAAGGGGATGGGGAATCCAGCCTCCTGGGAGGTCTGGAGCTCGAATTGACAATGGTCCTCTTGTGCTCAGAGACCTGAGTGGGGATGTGGCTGGGAGACTGAAATGTTGATTCAAACGGGAGATCCTGGCACAAGAAATATTTAGGAGGGAGAGCCAACACCCAGATTAAGTAAGAAAACATTTCATCCCGTGTGGGCAAAACTACTTGACTAAGCTTTTTTTTTTCCTTTGAGGAGCGGCACCCAGACCCCGACACGAAGCCTCTCCGCCCAGTGCCGGCCAGCGCAGAGAGTGGCAACACTCTAATTCCTAGAAAGTGAAATAACCCGGCTCCAATTACTTCAGGACCCTGCCCGCACCGCCCGAGCTTCTCCCGGGAGGACCCCATCTTCTGGCCTCACCCACTCAAGCACCACCCCGGCGCCCCTCCTTCAGGATCCTACTCCTTCCGTCTCCTGCTCCGGGGTCTACCTCAGACCCCACTCCCGGCCGCTGCGCCCCTAGGCCCACCTCCTCCAGGCCCGCGGCCACCCCGCGGCTCCGCGCTTTCTTTGAGCACCGCCTCCGCTTCCGTAGGCCCCCGCCCGGTCCCTAAGGCTCCTCCTCTGGGCACGCTCCGCCCTCAACCTGCTCCTCCCCAGTGGCGTCGGGTCCAGCCGCCCCCGGGACCCCCCACTCCGCCCGGGTGGAGGCCACCAGCTCCTCCCCAGCCGCCCCGCCAGCCGCCTCCGTCCCTCCTCCCGTCAGGCCCCGCCCCGGACCCGCCCTCCTCTCGGCGCCGAAGCTCCGGACCTTTCCAAAGCCGGGCGTGGGGAGGGGGGTTGTGCAGGGAGCCCACGCGTTCCGAGAGCCCGGCCCGGGCAGGGCAGCACCGGGGACCGAGTGTTCGGGTGGCTTTGGTGGCACGATCCGTCCAGGAGGACGCGGACGAGAAGCGGGCCGGAGCTGAGGCGGCGGGCACGGGTCTGTCTTTCCCGCCCCTCCCTGCGCGCGCCCGAGTGGTGGCGGCCGGGAGAAGGACTCGTGGCTGCGGGGCTCGCGCCTCTGTCAGTGCGGCGGGGCGCGCGAGAGGCGCGGGGCGCGGAGCCGAGGGAAGCCGAGGGGGCGGAAGCGGCGGCGACTGTCGCGCGTGTGCTCCGGGCTCCTCACGAGGCGGCCGGGGCCGCCTCCTCCCTCCCGCCCGCCCGCCAGCCCGCTCGCCCTCCGAGAGCGGCCGCGCCGTCGCCTTCCGCGCCGCGCGGCTTCCTCCAGACCTCGGCGCGGGTGAGTGGGGGCCGCGGGCCGCTCGGGAGGAGTGGGGCGAGCTGTTCCTGGTGCCTTTTCCTTCCTCACCTCCTCCGGCGGGCCGCTGCCTATTTTTAGAAACTCTTTCTTTCGGCCGTTCCGGGAGTCCTGGGAGCCGGAGTAACTCTCGGCCCCCTCCTTCTGAGCTCCCCCCTCCCAGGCCGCCCGCTCCGGGGCGCCTTGCCCGGGGCCGCCCGCGCTCGCCCCTGGCTGCCTGGCGTTCGCAGCTTGCTCTTGGTCGGCAGGCCCGGCCGGGGCCAGGAGTTGGGGGTGGGCCGGCGCCCGCTCGGAAGTTGGTGTCTTTTGTGCTCGCGCCCCGCCCCGGCCGGCGAGGGGAGGAGGGGAGGGAGCGGAGGTTGCGCCGGGGAGGCCTCGGGCGGGCTGGGGCCTGGCCCTGGCCTCGCTCGGGGATCCGGGCTTCTTCCGGCTTTCCAGCCCGGGCCAGCTCTTTGGCTTTCCTTAGGCGCGCAGACCTGGTCCTTCCTTCCCCCTTCCTGTCTCTGAGAGCCTCGCCCGCCACCCTTGCCTATCTTTTGGTCGTTGTCACCTGGGGCGCGGACGGGAACGACCAGCTAGCTAGTCGAACTGGGACTGAGGCTCACACTTTACTCCGGTCCTCTACGCGGCCGAGCCTCAGTTTTTTTCCTGGGTGACATGGGGTCAAGAAGAGACGCGGCCTCGCAGGGTGTTAGTGAATTTAGGGAGGGAGTTAGTGCTTAACAGAAGCGTTAAATGCCAACAGGTAACGTTCGATGAGACTGACCCAGGAACTTCGTGAATGTATCGCCTAATGGCCACAGCGGTCTTCCGGAGTTGTCCCTGCTCAAAGGAGCCGAAATCGAGGTGCAGAGAGGCACAGCCGTAGAAGTGCAGAGCTGTTAGTAACTGTTACTTCTTTGCTGATAGGAGCATGTGTCATCTCTTGTGCAGAGGGCGTTTTGATTTATCGTTAGGATTAACAGCGTATAGTTAAGAAACGTAACTCTGGGTTCCTCCCTGAGACAGCGACCTAGCTGTCACAGATAAAATCCCCTTTTGTTGGTACCAGAACTGAGAGGGAAGTGATTGCGATGAATTTTGTTGCTGGTGTTGTGGTAGACAGATCCAGAGATCTCCTAGCCTCAAACATGAGTGATGTTCTGAGCTTAAGGACCTCACCGAAGCCCACATTTTACTTTATTGCATGTCTCCCTCTTCCTCCAACCTCAGATCTCCTATGTTCTCCATGATCTTAGTTGGAAGCTCAGGGATGGAGGTAGCGCAAGTCAGCTTCTTCAACACCCAGCCTTCTAATAGTGTTATTTTTCTTTTTTTCCCAATAAGGCCTTTAGGGGTTAAAGTGAACTAAAATTAACTTCAGCAGCTGTTTTCCTTCGGCAGTGAGTTTGATACTAGTTGTGGGGATCGCCTGAAAACTCAGACAGGGCCGGGGCTTGAGGCGCTCCTGTTTGCATTAGTTCTTCGGACCTGAGGTCTGTGCTTCACCCAGCCCTTAGGTCTAGATTTATTAGTGGTGGAATATAGGAGGTGGATGGCTCAATAGGCACCCTTCTTTTTACTGATCCTCGAAAGGGGAAGGCTGTCTAAATAAGTTGACTACCTTGGTGATTGCTAGAATTCCCGGCAGCCTTTCTTTCACTCTAGGTTTTATTTATTTTTTTCCTTCTCCCCTCCCCTACATTGTCATTTGTTGAACGTAAATGAACGTGAACTGCATTTTCAGGCCTCAAGATCAGGAGTCTTGGGTTATTGGACATCTCAAAAGACATTGTAGTCTCAGTCATTTTCTGTGTCTAAAGAGCTAGGTGTCTCTTTCTTGGTTTCCTAATGGTTTAGGTACTCTCCTGTGACTGTTATCTGAGTTCTGATTTAGTGTGAAGTAGTTTGCAAGGCTTGATTTATGCCTTTGTCATGTCAGCCAGTAGACACAGATTAGGACATTTGCCTTCGGATCATAGGATTTAACAGGTCTTGACTTCAACAAGGAGCTGGGCCATTCTTTGTGGCCCTTTGAGTCTGTTTCTTTCTGTAGTCTCCTAGGGTGCTGTGGAGACGAGAAGATGGGTGTGAAAGTGCTTGTTACAGTGATAGCCGACATCTGTTAATCAGTCACAGGACTGAGGGGTTTTAGTGGACCATGTCATTTGATCCTTGGAGCAGTCTATGAACTAAGTATTGTCCCTGCTTTACAGAAGCAGCAGGCCTAGAGAAAGGTTACAGGACTTGGTCAGGGCCATGTTAATTGGTCAAGCAGGATTCACTGCGCAGACAGTAGCATTAAAGTCAGATTCTTTCAGAAATTATGGAGTCATAAATGTATGTAATATCTTAAACAGTTGGCATTGCGACAGTTTTACGGTGTCCAGTTCTTTGGGATTAAGTATATGGTTGTACAGCTGTGACATCCCCAAATTATTTTACCTTCCCTAACTGAAACTCTCCTGGCAAACACATTCTGTTTTCTGGTGTAAATTTGACTCTGTAGGACCTTCATAGTGAAGTGAATTAATTCAATCTTTGTCCTTTTGTGATTGCCACGGCTAGCATTGCCTGCCTTCATTTCAGTGTTCATTAATGTAGAATGATTTACTAGTTCTCATCTGTTGCAGAGAATGACATCCCTAGAGCAGGAGTCCAGGCTTGGTTGTGTCTCTGCAAAGCCCCTTTCTCCACACTACAGTTTAAGCTTTATTGCTAAAACCAGTTCTGGAATTACACTAGTCCCTGTGTTTTCAGAGAAGACCTTCTATCCTTGAACCCAGATTACTCCATATTTTCTGTTTGTGCATACTTATTTGACCATTCAGGGTTTGGGTTTACAGCTGTAGTGATCAGGAATAGCAGGACTATGAGAGTAACCTGGATTAAAATTTGTCAGCTGATTAGGTGGATTAATTACCGCAATGCCAAGCTCTCCTTTTGTGCCCCTCTCTTTCCATAAAGGCGCACAAAAAGGATTGGAGTTTGGAGTCTTAGAAGTTCTTATGGATCCTCACTGCTGTGGGTTAGGGTGGGTTAGGTGTTACATTTAACTTTTCAAAATTCACTTCAATTAATCTGTTTTTGTGTTTCGTAGTGAGATTTTTATATTTATGAGAGTTGGCTGGAATTTTGTTCTGATAGTAATGTGGCTTGGAGTAGGGAGTGTTGCAGAGATGGGGAATAGGACAGCAAGCGTGCTTATTTACATTGTGCCCTCCAAACCTCTGCTAGCCCACGTGGTCTGTATACTAAAGTCAGAGTGTTGAGTCGTACCTTTGATAAAGTGCCATTCTTCTTTTTTTCTTTTCTTTTGTGGTGCTTGAGATTGAGCCTGGAGTTCATGCATGGATTTGTTTTTATTTTATGTGTTTGGGTGTTTTGCCTGCATATGCCTGTATACCATGTATGCAATACCCAAGGAAGCCAGAAGATGATGTCATTCCCTAGATTAATTGGAGTTTCAGATAGTTGTGAGCTGCCATGTGGGTGGTGAGAGTTAAATCCAGGACCTCTGAAGAGCAACAAGTGCTCTTAACCATTGAGCAATCTCCAGACCTTGGATAGACCTTGGGTAGGTCTGCATGGCTATTTAGACTTCCTTTTAACATTCCAGGTGACTGCTTGTTTCAATGGATACATCGTTATTGGAAAGTTTTCTTCATTTACTGAATTAAAACATTTTTGAGAAAGGATTTTACTGCATACCTAAGACTGTGTTGGAACTTGGGGTACTTCTCCTCAGCCTGGAGTTACAAGAAGTATCATTAATGCCTGCCTTCATAGACTAGTTTTGAGGCATTTACTAAGCATGATACTAGGCTTGAGGATTTGGTACATATAGTTAGGCAAAGAAACAGGCATATAAGAAGTGTTGTGACAAGGACAGTACCGTGAAGATGTAGAGGATGGCATCTAGCCCAGCATTGTTGGGTCAAGAGGACATCCTTGGAGAAGCAGGCTAGGCTTAAACGTAAGCCAGGAAAATGAAATTTGGGGAGCCACAGAAGAGGCAGAGATGGGTCTATTCAAGGCGGAAAGAACTGTAATTCTAGGGATGGTGATGATGTTATGTGAGACTTTTAGTTACTTACTGTATCAGATACAATTGTGGGCATTTAACATTTGTTAACCTCTTCCCTGAGAGGTAACTAAAATTATTACTGCTATCCTATAGGGAAGGAAACCATCTCAGAGGGATTAAATGAATTTCTCAAGATCTCAGGTCAAGTGTGAAGCCTCACATGAGTGGTTGTGATGATATAACAAGACTTGCAGAGTAGGCAGATAGAAGTCACCTCACAGAAGGGCCGGATTGACCCTGTGAAGGACTTTGAATGACATCTTGAGGTGAGGGGGCCTTCCTGTGACTTTGTGCATCTTTTGGAAACTATCTCTGGTAACTTCCTAGGGGAGTGGACTGAGAGCTAGCACACTGTGGGTATCCCTGACCCAAGGTTCTGGTATTTCAGATGGCAGAAACCATAGTGTTATGTGTACATGAAAAAAGTGAACCAAGTTGTATGAGAAAGATTGTTGGAATGGAGGATATGGAAAGCAGCACATTTTAATCTTGCGTATAGGTCAGATTATAAGTGGGGACCAAAAAAGGGAATATATATAGAGGGAAGGGTGAGGATTTGTCATAAAGGGTTGGTTATCTTAAATCTGCTTTTATTAATCTCTGTTATGGATATCTGTTCTCTATCAGAGCTGGAGCCAGTGGTGAAGGGAAATGGCAGTTAGTGTGCTTCAAAATCTAATTTGTTTAAACCAGTGGTTCTCAACCTGTGGCTCACAACCTTTGGAAATACGTGTTTTCTGATGGCCTTAAGAACTGAGACACTGCTCAGAAGCAAAATTAGTTATGAAGTAGCAACAAAAATAATTTTATGATAGGGGATCACTGCAACATGAGGAATTGTATTTGTGTTAAAGGTTCAAAGTGTTAGGATGGTTGAGAACCACTGGGCTAAATTGAGTAATGCAAACACTATTTT